ATTGAACCAGCAAATCTTCGCTTTTGTGCATTATGTTAGAAGAGAGGCTGATGAGCTTGCTCTCCTGATTTTCCCCTCTCATGTCAGAGCTGCACTTGGACTCATGATGCTTCCCTTTTACCTGTTGTCCGCTGTGTAGAGAGGTGTGAAATACGGGTGTCAGGCAGGACAGCTGACCTCCTGGTGCATCGACCTTGGGGTGGGAGAACCCACGACTATCCTGGGTGCTTTCTCTTATTTCATCCTCAGTGTTCACTTCACAGTTGTACTGATCAGGACAATGAGGCCGTGGTTGCCAAGGCCATGCAGCCAGTTTACCACAGACTAGACCTGCAATTCCCATTGTCTGATTCTAGTGCCAGAACCTGTCCTCCCTTGTAATCCCAATCCCCGCCTGGTGCCCACACCTCCATACCTCTAACCCTTCACCAGCCTTGGCTTCTCCTTCTTCTCTCCTTCTGTTAGTTACATCACCATTTATTCCTGTGTACTTTGTTTCATGTCCCATGCCTCTGTTGGAGGTCCTTATTTCCTTCTCCTTGGACAATTGCAACAGCCTCCTTCCTGCTGGTCTCCCTGACTCTATGTTGTAATAAAGGAGGGGATGGTTGAGATGGTTATTTATAGAGAAAGGGAGGGAGAGAAAGCAGAGTCCCCATGATTTCTGGATGGACAAATTCTGCTGTCTTTTAGGCACTTGCCTCAGTGAGACATCTGAGTGAAATGGGGGTGAACAGTGGGTAGAGGGAGAGAACTTTATAGAGAACTCTGCCACACCGGACACTTTAACTAATAAATGCCTGTGTATCATTGGCTCAGCATAGGAATGTTTGTGTCCATTCACCACGGACTCTACCACATGCTCTTTGCTCGGAAGATTTTACCACATGTAGAGTCCAGGCTCCTTCCATCTTCCATTCCACCATCCCCTAGGACCTCTGCTGCAGAGAGGGGAGAACACTGCCTGACTTTGAAAGCCTGGACTTGGAGGTGACAAACAGCACTCCCCTCACCTTCTGTGGAAAGGATTAGCCACTTGGCCACCCCCAGGCACAAGGGGGCTGGGAAATCCCTTGTTGAGCATCCACCTCTCAACAGCTCTCTGCACTGTGTAAGGGTTCATCGTCTTGGGGACATTGGCCATCTCTGCTTCATGGGCTTAGATCCTTTTTGGCTTGTCATACTCCAACTTACTCTGCATCCCTTTTATCCCCCAACCAATCCTATTAATTATTATTATTACTGTTTACAACTTCTGGCTTCCTCAAGGCTCTTTAGGATCGTAAGGGAAGGGAGAGAGTAGGTTAGAGCAGGAGCTGGCTTGTCAATCCATCATCTCCCCACGTGGGGGGCTACGTCATTACTGTAGGCAGGATGCTGCAGTAAGGACTCTGGAGCAGCACTTGGGGAATCGAACATTTTTCAGTTATCATGCGAGATAACTGTGTGAGCCATTGGGGAGAAGATTTTGACCTGGCTCTTCTAAATAGGACTTTAGCAGCTACTGTCTGGTTTCCATGAGGGTGATGACTTAGTAATGTAGAAAGTGGCTAGGACAACACAAAGAACAAATGTGGTCAGAATGGCCAGGTTCTCAATGCAGTTCCATTTAACAGCACCAGATGCTCAGGTTATTTTGAGCTTGGCCAAATGACTGAGAAGAGATGAAGTGGCTAGGACAACACAAAGAACAAATGTGGTCAGAATGGCCAGGTTCTCAATGCAGTTCTATTTAACAGCACCAGATGCTCAGGTTATTTTGAGCTTGGCCAAATGACTGAGAAGAGATAAGTGGAAACATTTACTGAAAAAATAATTTATTGAGGTGGAATCACATAACGTAAAATCAACCATTTCAAAGTGAATAATTCGGTGGCGTTCAGTATAGTCACAATGTCGTGCAACCACTACTTCTTTTTAGTTCCAAAAATATTTTCATCACTCCAAAGAAAAACCTTGTACCCATTAAACAGTTTCTCCCCATATTCCTCTTCTGCAGCCCTTGAGAACCACCAATCTACTTTCTGTCTACAGATTTATCCATTCTGGACATTTCATATAAATGGAGTCACACAATATGTGATCTTTTGAATCTGGCTTCTTTCACTTAGCATAATGTTTTCTGGATCCATCCATATTGTAGCATGTATTAGTACTTAATTCCTTTTTATGGCTGAATAATATTCCATTGTGTGGATGGACCACATTTTGTTTATTCATTCATCTGTTGATGGACACTTGGGTTGTTTCTACCATTTGGCTATTGTGAATAGTGCTGCTATGAACTTTCACATACATGTACTTGTTTGAGTCCCAGTTTTCAATTCTTCTGGGTATATATTTAGGAGTGGAACTGTAGTGTCATATGGCAAGTCTATGTATAACTAAAATTAAAGTTTTTGAATCTTGGAAAACTGCTATAGGTAGTAACCCCATCCTAATTCATACGATTGTATTGTGAACACTAAACTCAGGGCATTTCTGGTGACTAATTTTATGTGTCAACCTGACTGGGCCATAGGGTGTCCAGATATTTGGTCAGGGCTGGCTGGTTAGCTCAGCTGGTTAGAGCATGGTGCTGCTAACAACAGGGTCCAGGGTTAAATCTCTGCACTGTCCAGCCACCAAGAAAAAGGACTCAGAAGTTACTACCCAAGGTCATACGGCTAATAATTGGCAAAGCCAGGTCTGTCATTGTCCAGATATTTGGTCAGTCATTATTCTGGCTATTCTGTGAGGGTGTGTTGGATTTGATTAACATTTGAATTGGTAGACTGAATACAGCATGTTGCCCTCCCTAATGTGAGTGGGCCTCCTCCAATCAGTTGAAGGCCTGAATATAACAAAAGGGTTGACCCTCCTCTGAGTAAGAGAGTCTTCCTGGCTGATGGCCTTTTAACTGAGACCTCAGCTTTTTTTCCAGACTTCAGACTTGAACTGAAACATTGGTTTTTCATGCGTCTTGGAGTTTCTGGAAATAGCTCTCTAATCTGATTAGACTTAAAGACAGGAATGCCAGTATTTCCAGTAGTAAAGAGAATGCCAGTAGTCCATATCATGATCTGGCAATAGAGATGAACAAAGTATCACCGTTAGATACTCCTAATCAAACACTTGTGAGAAGCAAGGGTCTGGGTGACTGTGTGTTTAGTGCTTTCAGACATTTTTGTCACACCGATGAGTATGATGAGACTGGCTGGTTGCTCCTAATGCCACTGGATAAAGTGGAGAAAGAAAAGGATGAGCTCAGGGATCAAGTTCCAGGCCCAAGTGCTGCATAAATGTCCTGAAAGCTTCAACCTGTACCCTTTACCTGTGGCCACAGGGCTGAGGTTGCTGAAAATCAAGCCCAGAATCTCATCCTGCAACTGGCTGAATCACAAAGCAAGTTGAACCCCCAGACTTGCAGGGGTCTACTGTTAAAGTGAGGGCATTGATTGGGAATGGATGGGATTCTGAAAGTTGGAATAGGCATGAGTGGGAAGACCTTGATGAGGATGGGGACACTGAGCCACTACATTCTGATGTGTGTTCTTTGCCAATGGAAGAGTTCTCCTCATCCCCAGTGGAGCAGGCCTCTTGCCCCAAGTCTGAGCAAATTAACACTGAGGAAATGGTAATGGCCTTCCCTGAGGTCGTTGCCATGCAGGACAATGCTGCTTCTCCTCAGGACCTACCCCCATCACCCCTCTTTCCTTCCAGACCTATAATGGGACTCAGTACCAGCAGCATCCAAAGGCGAGGTATGAAGTGTGACCCATGAGGAGGTATGCTACACTTCAAAAGGGCAATTTGAGTTTTCTAATTTATATATAGAGAAATCTGGGGAGCATGTGTGAGATAATGGTGGAAGGATCATAAGCCTGGATCCGGTCAAGTTTATTGATATGGGCCCACTTAGCAGAGATTCTGCATTTCATGTTTCAGCTCAGGGAGTTAGGAAGGGCTCTATCAGTTTGGTTGGTTGGCTGAAACATGGATCAAAAGACGCACACAGTGAGCAAGTTAGAAATTCCAGACCCACCTTGATTCAATGTAACAAATAATAAAAGAATATAAAATGGATGTTCTTTTAAAACATAAGTTTACACAGTCATTGAGTCAGTTCCTTTGGTGAAGCCTGTGTCCCTGCTTCCTGTTGCAAAAGCCATTTATAGAACATTCACAGCTTGTGAAAATTGCTTTATGAAATGGAAGACCACAAGAATGGGTTGCCTGATGTGCTCCTGACCACCCCTGGGGGCAACAGGAACCCAGGAAGGCCTGGGCTCCAGAACGATGGAGCAACCAGCTGCCCCACAAGTCCATCATGCCAGCTGGACAAGTGCAGGTGTGCAAGAATCCCACAGGCCTCCCTCTGAGGTGCTCTCCCACCAGCTGCTTGTCCCGCTTTCCCTGCTCTCTGACACAGGCTTTTGAGCCCTGAAGGGGACATGGGTGAAGTCAGAGTATGAAGTGGGGGTGCAGTCATGGAGGGGACCTGGAGCCACCATCCTACAACCTCCCCCATACACCAACACTGCTTCCATCTCCTTTCCTTCCAATTCTCTGCCATGGGACCACCAAAATGGACATAATCTGGTAAATGAGTATGGTGGCCTGTTTCGAGAGAGGAAGAATAATTCCATCCTTTTAACATCAAGGGAAAAGGGAGAAAGCAGTAAATGTTGGCATTGCTTCTCATCGTGTGCATGGGTTGTGGGGGTCCTTGGGCAGGGTGGGCGTGCTCTGTGTGTGCCCGAGACAGGCCCTGAAGGCAGCCTTCTGTAATCTCACTTTCCCCGAACACTGACCAACTAGTGAGAAGATAAGATTTTGCAGCAGACGCAGAACAAGAGGGGACATTTGATGCCTGTTGTATTCAGTTACCAGTAATCTCTCTTGCATCACTTACTTTTGTTAGAATTGACTAATAGGCAGCATGCCTTCATGGGAGCGCAGCAGATATAAGCACTGTCTTTGCAGGCTGGCTTCCTAACTGAGAGCAGGGAGCAGAAGGCATGGGGCACGCTCGGCGCCAGTTCCAAGCTCTGCTCTGGAAGAATTGGCTCTGCAGACTCAGGCACCCGGTGAGTGCTTGCCTTGGTTTTCCAAAGGGTTCCAGTGAGGTCTGGAGAGAGATCCGGCTTTGTTCTTGCCTGGCTGCCCCTGCCTCCTGGCAGTTACAAATGTCCATACAGCAGGGAAATTGGGGAGGTTGGATTATTTTAAATGAGAACCTGCCGTAAGGGCCAAAGCAGCTGATCTCTGCTGACCAGCGCAAAATCAAGGTGGTAGAATCTTGTCAGAAAAGGGCTAATTTAGAAAAACTGAAAATATAACAAATAGAATTTGAATTGTAATTGGTTCTTTATGCGTTTGTTTTAAAAACTGAGCTACAAATCCTCTGGTTTAAGGGACAAAGCATCAAATGCATTTGATGCATAAACAGAATATTGCAAATAATGACTCCAAAGTGTGAGGCTGTATGATGTGTGTAAGCAGAGCTGGGCATGGCCTGTCTACTCAATATTATTCATTTTTATTTATTTCTTTTTATTTTCCCTGAGATTCTTCAGGCTGACAATATTATTTTTTGATAGCAAATCTTTAGTTTTAATTCACATCTTTTTATAATTACATCAGCAAGGCTTTCCTAAGCAGATTGGAATTGCTTAAGCCAAACTTGTGTGAATACTTAAGTAAATAGCCTGTAAGTGTACGTTTCAATGAAGTAGAAATCAATTGCTTATTCTTACGATTAACTTTCCATTATTCCTGATGCCAGTAGACAGATGCTAATAATACCTGCAAGTGTCATTTTCAGTAGAAGTAGGCAGTAACATAGCATCATTATTTCTGATTTTAAGGTCTACGCTTAACAGTTGGAGTTTTTCTGCTACAAATTGTTATGTTTGAAGGAATTCAGTAGTTGACATTGAATTTCATTTGGCTGAATCCTCATAGCCAGAATATTCTTTCCTCTTTCTCAAAATAAATATTAAAGGAGATGTTTTCTTTTTCATGTGTTCTTCAGGATCAGAACAATTTCAGTTGAAAATTTGTTGTACAAGTTTTAAGGTCAGGAATGAATAAATGAGACTTAAACTCTTCATCAATTGTTAGTGTGTTGGTGTCCGTGTAGGTGGTTTTCCATTTATGAACAGCATATTTCATTAACATATAAGTTTGTTTGGGGGAACTAAGCCTGTTTTCCCATTTAAGAATATTACAGGAGGAAGTGGGTTTCCCAGGCACGGTTCTTTCTGTTTTATGTATATCAACTCATTTAAACCTCAGAATAGCTCAGTGAGGGGTGGTATCAGGACTATTTGCTCCTCATTATTGGACTCCTGAGTTATTAAAAATTTTCACAATTATTATTGCTGCTGAGGTAAACATCCTCATCAGAAATATTTTGTCCACCTCAGAATAGCTCAGTGAGGGGTGGTATCAGGACTATTTGCTCCTCATTATTGGACTCCTGCGTTATTAAAAATTTTCACAATTATTATTGCTGCTGAGGTAAACATCCTCATCAGAAATATTTTGTCCTTTATTTATTTGATGACTGCTTACTTAAAATGGTAACTCCTGCACCTCATCCTTCTTTGTCTTTTTTTCTCTTTGTATTTATCATCTGGTAACATACTACAGATTTGCTTATTTGTTAATTGCCTCTGGATACTATATTAGTATCTAAGATCCATCAGAGCTGGACATTTTTTTCTGATTTATTCACTAATGTATTCCCTAGCACCCAGAGCAGTACCTAGCTCATAACAGGTGTTCAATAAATATTCACTGAGTGACTGAAATGCCAGATACTGATGAACTGGACAGATGTGTGTCCTGCTTTCAAGGAGCAACTGTCGGTTCAGGGAAAAGCAACAAATATGCAATAAATATTTAATGAACTCACTTCTGAGGAATATAGCCTACAGATGTCCTTGCACAAGTGGGAAATGGTATTTGTACAAGGTTATTCATCACGGCACTGCTTATAATAGCAGCATAGTAGAAACAACACAAGGGCTTCAGTGCCTAGAATGTGGAGCCACCTGATGGGGTTCACATCCCAGCTTTTCACCTTACTAGTTTACTTATGTGGGCACATTTCTCAACTTGGATTTCTCCCTGTAAGATGAGATTGATTGTAAGTATTAAATGAGTTAGTGCATGCAATGTGCTTGCAACAGTGCCTGGCTTAAGAGTCAAAGCTGCTTCTTATTCGGCCACAGTGCTGGGGGTAGAAGGAATGGGTGGCCTCAGACATCTGCAGGACATAAGCCATGGGCCGTGAAGGAGGGGACACTCCAGGCTAACTCCAGGTTTCTGGCTTGCAATTGGGTCAGAATAGAACCCCAGGGAGATAATGTGAATATGTTCACATCTCTTAATACTATTGCAGTGGAAATATTGAGGCCAGCCCCCTCTGGGTGAATGTCTTTAAACTGACCTAGTTTTCGTAGCTTCCTCCTGTTCTTCAATGATAATCTGTAAAGTCTTTGTTTTTGCACTATGGAAATGGGGTGTTGGCATAAACTGTGGGATAACCAATCTGAACGAGTGAATAAACGGTCGCAAATAAATGTTTATTTAGTGAATAAGAACCAGGCAGTATTTGTAAGATGAACGAAGCTTGTCTGTTTTTATATTTACTTAAAAAAATCCTTCATTTTACTATATTTTATAAATATAGTTCTGTTAAAAAACCATTTTATTATAGAAATTTCAAACAGAAAAATAAGAAAAAAATAGTATAATGGACGAATAATATCAATCATACTTATATTTATACCTACCTTCATACATTGTTACAATTCTACTCTTCTTAGAAAAAAATAGTTTAAACAGAAGAATATTTTCATAACTATTTTAACACCACTTATTTTTTCTCTTGATTTTTATTTATGTACAAGCAGCACTATATAACAATAGAAAAAATTATAAAAAATTATCTAAAGTTCCATTATCCTAATGTATCTGCTACTTTTGTAGTCTTTTCTTGTTATTAGGCAAATATAATGCAATATTTTTACATAGTTAAAATTATATCTTTTTGTTTTCGCTTAATATTGAAACCCAAGATTTTCTTTTTCTTTTTTCTGGCAGGTGGTGGTTTGGGGATCCATATCCTTGACCTTGGTGTTATAAGCACCATGCTCTAACCAGCTGAGCTAACCAGTCAGCCCCCAAGATTTTAAAAGTTGCTGTATAGTCTTCCCACTTAGTGGTTTTATTGCATAATAGTTCATCAGGTGGATACACATAATTTATTCAACCATTTCTTTGTGTTGGGCATTAAGGTCCTTTCTAGTTCTTACTATTAGGAATAACATTGTCATGCATGATGATGCATTTTCTTTCTTTTTTTTTTTTTTTTTTCCTTTTTGTCTTTTTTCGTGTCCGGC